AAATAACCTCTGTGTTCTGACTGGCTATAGGAGGGAGATGAACAGCAAACTGTTTAGAATGTTGGAGGCGAGACTCGAGCAATGCAGCCAGTGGGTAGGGTCAGATTCTGAGTGACACACCGGGGCGCCAACCAATTCCGGAGCGCGTGGAATGTTCTAGAGAAGTGCCACCACCATTCGGCTTTTATTTATAAGGGAGATACACTACGTTTTTATAGTTGGCCCTCTATTCTGTTTGACCTACCTCTATTGGTTCTTAGTCATGCCACGGACCTCGGGGGTGGACAAAGCTCTGCCCCAACAACTCTGCTCGTGGCAGAAGGGGCCTTCTTCGGGTGCCAACCTGCAAATGGGCCAAAGCAACAACTGCCCAAATGCGTGCTCTCTCCGCTGCGGCTCCCGCCTTGTGGCACGGCTGGCCCAAGGAGGTTAGGGAAGCCCGCATTCTCCTGGCCTGCCACAAACTACACAACACTGAACTATTCAAAAGGGCCCTTCTGAACAGGTAATAAGGCTGCACCATACAACACAGTTCACAAATTTACCGGGATAGCCAGTAAGCCAGTTTGGTGTAGTGGTGAAGTGCGCGGACTCTAATCTGAAGAACCGGGTTTGATTCCCCACTCCTCCACTTGCAGCTGCTGGATGACCTTGGGCAAGCCGTAGTTCTGTCAGAGCTGTTCTCTAAAGGACAGTTCTGGAAAGAGCTCTCTCAGCCCCGCCTACCTCACTGGGTGTCTGCTGTGTGGAGGGGAAGGGAGAGGAGTTTGTAAGTCGTTCGGAGACTCCGCGTAAAGGGTGGGGTGTAAATCCAATCTCCTCCTCCTCCTCTTCTTCTTCTTCTTCTTGATGAGGGACTGCGGTCTATACTGCTATGTACTGCTTATTGTAAGTAGGTAAGTAAGTAATTTCTGTGCCGCTTCATATGTCCTGTGAACACTCATGCTATTGCTTCAGTTCTTTCTGGGGGTTCCAGATTTCTAATATCCTAATGCACTGGTTACTGCATGTCCCGTTTTGTTGACTGTACTGAGGGGGGATGATTTTATGGTGCACTGTTATTCCGTCCTACAGTTTTTCCCCCCATGGTACAAAGTACATTCATTTCTCATTTCATTGATATCCTCCAGGGGACACAGAGTGCCAGGCAGGGGCCACAGTTCCATGCAGAAGGTCCCAAGTTCAATCCCTGGTATCTCTAGTTAGACGGCTCTCAGGAGGCTGTCTATGAGACACTGCGAATCAGAGAATATGGGGCTAGAGGCAATAGTGGTGGTCTCCCTTGAGGGCCTCTACGAGATGCTGCCAACAGTTTAACTGGCTTTGGAAAAACCTTGGTTCCAAGCACACGAGGTGGCTTTGTTTCGATTTCTTCTTTTTATTTCTTCTTTTTTTTAAAGATCTGTTTAAATTTTGCATGCCTAAGATTTCTCCAGATCCACGATCTCAGGAGGCAAGGTTTTGAGGAGGAGGAGGAGGAAGGAGGAGGAGGAGGAGGTGATTGGATTTATACCCCGCCCTTCAGTCAGAGTCTCAGAGCGGCTTACAATCTCCTTTCCCTTCACCTCCCCACACACAGACACCCTGTGAGGTAGAAGAAGAAGAAGAAGAGACTGCCCTTCACTACCCAAAGGAGTCTCAGAGCGGCTTACAAACTCCTTTCCCTTCACCTCCCCACACACAGACACCCTGTGAGGTAGGCGGGGCTGAGAGAGCTCTCTCGAGGACTGGTCTTGAGACAACAGCTCTGAGGGAACTTGTGACTGACCCAAGGTCACACCAGCAGCTGCAAGTGGAGGAGCGGGGAATCAAACCCCGCACTCCTAACCACTGTACCAAACTGGCTGCACCAAACTGACAGTGGGGAGAGCCACTGCATGTCACAGTATAGCTTCCCAGATCCGACAAGATCGGGCTGTACCGTGCCACCTCCCCTGCCCTTCACATATATACACATGCATATATACACATGAAGCTGCCTGATATTGAATCAGACCCAGCAACCCATCGAGATCAATATTGTCTACTCAGACCAGCAGTGGCTCTCCGGGGTCTCAGGCTGAGGTCTTTCACATCACCTACTGCCTGGTCCTTTCCACTGGCGATGCTGGGGACTGAACCTGGGACCTTCTGCATGGCAAGCAGATACCCTACCACTGAGCCACAGCCCCTCTTTACAGCTCTCCAGGGTCTCGGACCAAGGTCTTTCCCATCACGCGCTACCTGACCCTTTTAACTGGAGATGCCGGGGACTGAACCCGGGACCTTCTGCGTGCCAAGCAGAGGCTCTACCACTGAGCCACGGCCCCTCTTTACAGCTCTCCAGGGTCTCAGGCTGAGGTCTTTCACGTCACCCACTGCCTGGTCCTTTCCACTGGCGATGCTGGGGACTGAACCTGGGACCTTCTGCATGCCAAGCAGATGCTCTACCCCTGAGCCACGGCCCCTCTTTACAGCTCTCCAGGGTTTCAAGCTGAGGTCTTTCTCATCACCTACTACCTGGTCCTTTCCACTGGCAATGCCAGAGATTGAACCTGGGACCTTCTGCGTGCCAAGCAGAGACTCTACCACTGAGCCATGGTTCCCTCCTTTGCAGGATTCAAAACTCAGAGTCTCTTACATTCAAACCCACCTAGCCGGCTACAGCCTCTGGCTCGTTTCAGTTTTAAAACAGCATTACCCCTAGCGTCAGCTTTATGGCTCAGTGCTCTGACCCAGAGCCCTCCAACGGCTCAGCATGGTCCGGACCTTCAAAAGGGTACCACTTAGAGTTTCCGGTCTATGGCGGCACGCTGAGCAGTCACACCTCCCGGACCTCCCGGGGGTGAAGCTGCGCTCTGGCCGAAGGAGGGGGTGCGCAGGATCATCACCCCCCCAGAGACCCGCCTGAAGGGGCTCTGGCCATGGGACCCTCGAGGGGTTAAGAACATAATGTTGGATCAGGCCAAAGGCCCATCCAGTCCAACACTCTGTATCACACAGTGGCCAGAAATACCAGGTGCCATCAGGAGGTCCACCAGTGGGGCCAGGACATTAGAAGCCCTCCCACTGTTGCCCCCCCCCACCCAAGCACCAAGAAGACAGAGCATCACTTGCCCCAGAGTCCCTATCTATACCTTGTGGCTAATAGCCACTGATGGACCTCTGCTCCATATGCTTATCTAATTCCCTTTTGAAGACGTCCATGCTTGTAGCTGCCACCACCTCCTGTGGCAGTGAATTCCAAGTGTTAATCACTCTTTGGGTGAAGAAGTACTTTCTTTTATCCGTTCTAACCCGACCGCTCAGCAATTTCATGGGTTGCCTCTTCGCTGGCGCCGGCGCGATGCCGGGGAATTGAGGCGCCTCTCCGTCCTGAATGTTCTTTGTGCTATGTGCTTTGTGACCGAATGGAACCAAGTGACGCTGACCGGGGCAAGCGCAGGAGGTCGAGCGAAAGAAACAGAGCTTAAACGAGGTCTGAGGACCAACTATGAACATGAGTTCAATCTAAGCGTTTAAATAAAAGGAAAAGAAAGCTCCCCAAACCTCCCACGGAACAGAAAGTGAGGCGAGCGGGGGAGGGACACCTCCCAAACGCATGTACTTAAAAGCGAATTGGAGGGGGGGAGCGGAAGAAAAAGCGAATAAAACTGTTAAGAAAGACTTACCAAGGCGAGTTCGAGCATACAAGCACATATTCAGAGACTTTTAAAATATCGGTTAAAGTAAACAATCCACAAAGATGGCGGGGAAGAGGATGGAGAAAGAGAAACTTTTAAAAGCGAAAGGGACTGAGAGCCCAAGACCAGAAGCAACCAGCGAGCTGGCAAAGACATTGGCGGAATCCATGCGCCCTCTACTGGACCAGATGAATAATCTCAAGCAGCAGTTGTCATCAATGTATCACCACCCAGCAAAATCAATTGAGTGAAACACTTAAAATGATGAACCAAACAGCTGAGAAGGTGAAAGAAGTGGATGCCACTGCACAAAAGGTGAAGAAGAAAGTACAAAAGCTGGAAAAGAAGCAAATCTCCACGGAAGATCAGCTGTTACAACTGGAAAAAGCTAATTTGATTCTTCGCTTCCAGGGCCTTCCAGAGACTAAAGGAGAGAATCTGAAGGAGAAGATGAGTGAATTATTGGCCCCAATGACAGAGATGAAGGTGGAATCTTTGTTGAGCGATATGGATGTGGCCTACAGGTCATATTCAGGATATATAAAGAAAAACAATCTGCCTGGGGAAATAGTGATAAGATTCTCGAAGAGATGTGTGAGGGATGCAATCTTGAAAGAGGCATCTGGAGCCCCTTTGACAATTGGAGATAATGCTATCAGAATCCCAAAAGACATTCCATTTGAAATAAGACAAAGGAGAAAGAAGTACAAAGATTTAATTCTTTTTCTCCAGACAAATGCAATTGGATACAGATGGCTAACACCAGAAGGGGTAATCTTCAAAATCAAGGATAAAAAGGAAAAGATTGACTCTGTTCAGAAAGCATGGACATTTTTGAGAGTCCAGATGGGAGAGCCAGAGGAGGAAGAAAAAGAAGGGATGGACAGTAAGTCCAGCGGCGAGCTGGACTCGGGGTCTTCCGGAGAGGACTCTCTATCAGAGAAAGGGGCAGCCGCCCCTAAAAGTCCTTATAAACTGCAGAAGAGACTGGGCAAGGGGAAATGAAGGCTGAAGGACTCTGAATTGTACCTTTGAAAAAACGTTTTTTTCTTTGATACTAGATGCTTAGGGGTCTTTCGGGTTAACAGTGATAGTTAAGATATGAAAAAGATAATACTATAGTTGAATCAGTTCATAATGGGATTAGCGTGATTGAGATAACGTGTGCAAAGCTAACTAGATTATCTCCTCTCTTGGGCTTTTAGATAGTAGTGGGTATCTTTTCTTTATCCCTTAATTTAGTCCCCTTCCCTATTTCTGTTGTAGTTTGTAGTCTTTATAAAAATGCAATAAAAAAAATCCCCTCCGGGGAGCCCAAAAAAAAGGGGTACCACTTACGTCTCATAGATGTGCCCGTTCTCCACCCTCTCCTCCACGTAGGCCAGAGCTCGGACATGCATCGGCGAGTGAGGGAACGCAGCGTGGATCCACGGCAGCCCGAAGAGCGACAGCCCGGTGTTGATCAGAGCCACGAGGAGGAGGTCCCAGTGATACGCGGTTCCCTTCACTAACCTGAAATAAATTCTTGTTAATGAAGTTTTAATGCATGTTAGCAGGGTTGGGGGGGAAAATGGTTTTAGGTATAAGTGATGCGCATAACGGGCCATCAAGTAGCAGCTGACTTACAGTGACCCTGTAGGTTTTTCAAGGCAAGAGACAGAGGTGGTTTATCATTGCATGCTGTCAAGTCACGGAATAGCACCCTGTGATGGCATTTTAAAATGCTGCTTCGTGCAGAGAGTCAGGGAGGTTAGGAGTTAATCTTCCCTGGAGAGAAGAGCTAAGGTGATTGGCTGCTCTGCTCACACTCTGATTGGCCAGCATCAGCTGAGAGAGATATGAAACAGCTGGTCTGGAGGGGAAAGGGGTCTTTTTGCAATTTGGTCTTCTGAAAACCAACGTCCGGGATCAGTAGCCAGGGAAGAGACTTTTGGGGACTCAGTGTTTTCCAACAGGCAATAGTCAGAAAAGTACTTTTACAAGAAAGAAGAAGAAAACCCCCATTGTCTAAATATATTAACACTGCTCTGAGGGAGAACTTAGATTCTCAGTAAGCAAAGCTACAGAACAGCCTTATACAGACAATGGGTACTGGAGAAGGATTTGGCAGAAGGTCTGGGAAGTTAGAGAGAACTTCCAGACAAGCCAAATAGTAAAAGAAGTTATTGCTTATTATGGACAAGGAGAATAACTTCTTGCCAGCGAAAGGGGTTGGGAAGAGAGCCCTGGTCTGTGATAAAGGAGAGAGGCTTAGACACCTCAGGAATTAATGAAAAGCTGTATTATCTAAAGGAAAACTGGCAATATCTGAAGGAAGAAATCTAGAAACATCAACAAGAACTGTGTTGTGCTGAGAGATACTAAACAAAGTACCTCTCAAAGAAAGAAATGGAAAGCACTGAAACAAAACTACAAGTACACTCTCTTGAATGTTCTATGAATTCAACTCTGTAAATAATAGAAAGTTTTTACCTCAGCAATCTCAAAACCTTGACTCTTCCCATTATACATTCATTCCCTGCCTGTTTAATAAAATCTTTATTCTGTTTTTGGAAGTTAAATTTGCCTCAAGTGCCATTTCTCAGGAGCTTAGAGAAAACCGGACAGCTCCTGTATTTTTCAGTAGAGTTCCTGAGCTGAGAAAAAGCCTTACCTAAATATCTAAACATAGGACAGTCAAGTCTTTTATGATAAAGATATACACGCTACTGTGGGGCTACTCAGTCACTGAGGGGAACTGAAAATCTGGCGGGAAAAATCTGTCAGACAGCTGAGGAGATACGGGGGTCCGTCATAAACCCACAGAGTTTTCAAGGCAAGAAATTGCTCAGAGGAGGTTTGTCATGACCTGCCTCCAACACTGGACTTCCGTGGTGGTCTCCCATCCAAGTACAAACCAGGGCCGACCCTGCTTAGCTGACCCAGGTCTGACAAGATCGGGCTAGTCTGAACCACCCAGGCCAGGGCAGGTCACTTTTAAGTTACTCTGAGAAAATCTCTGAAGATGGGGGCATGGGGAAAAACCGAGGATGGCCTGGGTGATTTCCTTCTTCTTCTTCTTTTTTAAATTAAATTTTAAAAAACAGTCAAAAATAAGAAAGTAGATCCTGATATTTATGTAGAGCAAACAGGGAGGTGTCAATTTTATGTGCTGCTGACGCTTCTAAGAGGGGCATCCATTTTTCTTGGGGATTGTCAGGAACGGGTTGATTTTCAGATCTAAGGGTACTAGTGGAAACTTTGTCTTGTAGAAAAAAGTCCCACAATTCCAGATACCAATCACTCAGTTGTAACGTCTTCTTAGATTTCCAGTGAAATGCAATAACATTCCTAGCAGCCGCAAGACATAATTCTATTAGCTCTTTCATAAGCCCATTAGGGGCAGAATGACTCCAATGGTTCAGGAGGAACGAGGAGGGTTGCAGTTGGAGGGCGCAACCTGTAATTAGAAATATTTGGGCATTGACTTCTCTCCAGAAGATCTGAACCTTGGGACACTCCCACCAGCAATGAATATAGGTGCCACGGGATTTCCTTCCAATCTGTTTCCAATTGTGACCCAGCTTAGGTATGGACTTGTAAAGAGGCTTAAGTACATAAGCGAGAAGCCAGGAAACAGCTGGAGATTTTGCACCGTTGTGACGATGGAGCAAACAGACAGGGGAAGGGGTTGAGCCTATGGGAGCCCTGAGTCCAGAGGACTTTGAGACCAACTTCAGTTAACTCTGAGCATGGTCAACAGCTCTGTGCTGAAGATGGTTTGTTAGCTGCTTTAAATCGGGATATCCAGAAATCAACTTGGTTGAAAGCCCTGGATGAGAAACTGATGAAAGTTGACGGTTGCATTTAAAGAAAATTTGTATAAAATGTTCTATAGATGGCACCTAACCCCAGATAGGTTAGCTAAAACGTATAAAAACTTGAGTAACAGATGCTGGAAATGTAATAATCATGTTGGATCATACTATCATATGTGGTGGACATGTAAAAAAGTTCATAAATACTAGATTGGAGTACATATTCTCTTACAATCAGTGTTGAATATGACAATAGTTTTTAAACCAGAAATATTCTTGTTAAACTGTCTGCCAGATGACTTCGATAAGAACCATAGACATTTTATTTTACATGTTATAACAGCAGCCAGAATCTTGTTCGCAACAACATGGAGGACATTGAAAATCCCAACGCTTAATGAGTTGATAACGAAGATTATGGAATCAGCTGAAATGGTCAGATTGACAAATATACTAAAAGGAAAAATGGAAGAAGAACTTATGGGACCATGGAGGGCGTTCTATGACTGGTTAAAGCATAGCTACTGAGAAACTAAATGAGGAACAATAAGAAAGATGGTTATAATCAGTGTTCCCTCTAAGCTGAGTTAGTGTGAGCTAGCTCACAGTTTTTTAGCCTCCAGCTCACACATTTTTGTCTTCGCTCAGGAAGGATGGCTCCAGAGCAAACTAATTTATGCAGAAGGCAAATTGCTGGCTCACAGCTTTAATGCCAGTAGCTCACAAAGTAGAATTTTTGCTCACAAGACTCCACAGCTTAGAGGCAGTGTTCCCTCTAAGCTGAGTTAGTGTGAGCTAGCTCATAGTTTTTTAGCCTCCAGCTCACACATTTTTGTCTTAGCTCAGCAAGGATGGCTCCAGAGCAAACTAATTTATGCAGTTGCCAAATTGCTTGCTCACAACTTTAATGCCAGTAGCTCACAGAGTAGAATTTTTGCTCACAGGACTCCATAGCTTAGAGGGAACATTGGTTATAATCGTTGGGAAACTTTCAGGAGGAGATTTGCATGCAGAATGTTCATTTGGATCCCTTCCTTCCTCCCCCCCTCCCCTTCCCCCCTTTCTATAGATAGATTAATAAAACTCTATTTTTTAAAAAAGAAACTGATGAAAGTTGGGATGCTGATTGATGATATTTTTGAGATGGGGGAAAAACCAAAGCATTTTCTGTGATCAAAAAGTGAGCCCTGGAAATCGACCACAGTCGTTGGATTCTGAGAGCCCGCAGAGTATGATCACCCCTATTTTTTGGTCTTTCTTACCCCAAATCTTTACTCCCCCCCCCAATATGTACTATCTTACCATCCCACGTTATTGCAGAGCTTCGTTGTTTGCAAGACTGAACATCATGCCTACAATGGTTTTGCAAGGGAGGTTTCTGAATAGGTCCTACACTGACAGAATCTGCCCTGGTGGCCTTAACGGGACCTTCCACGCCCTGCTGGGATGCAGATTTTTTTGAGATGATGAGGGATTACTATATTAAGCCTTTATTTATGAGGGATTACTATATCATAAAGCTGCGGTGGCTCAAGTGGTTAAGAAGCCGAACTGCAGGCTGTGGAAGGTCAGTAGTTCAGCAGTTCGAGACCCGAGTGTGCCGCATGACGGAGTGAGCTCCCGTCTCTAGTCTCAGCTCCTGCCAGCCTAGCAGTTCGAAAGCAAGAAATTGCAAGTAGATAAATAGGGACCGCTTCGGTGGGAAGGGAACAGCGTTCCGTGCGCCTCGGTGTTTAGTCACGCCGGCCACATGACCACGGAAACGTCTTCGGACAGCGCTGGCTCTTCGGCTTTGAAACGGAGATGAGCACTGCAACCCTAGAGTCGGACTCGACTGGCTTTCGAGCAAGGGAAACCTTTACCTTTACTATATCAAGCCTTTATTCAACCAACCGCCCCCCTGTACTCGGGAAACCCAAGCTCTTCTGCCCAGCGACGAGGATCCCACGATCACTCTGGCAACGGCAAAATCTGTCTCGGTCCTATCAGCCCTTGCATCTAAAAAATAACAAGTGTTTTCTGCTGCTCGGGACTCGTGAATCAGTGAGCTTCTAAGAGTACAAAAGGAAAGGAAATGTCAACGGCAGCCTCCTCTTTATAACCCGACAGCGTCCAAGGTTAACTCCTGGCAGCAAAGACAAGATGGCTAAGATAAGAACAAGACAGCGGAACGGCAGAGACACCCAGGGAGCAGTGTCCCCTCTAAGCTGAGTCAGTGTGAGGCAGCTCACAGTTTTTTAGCCTCCGTCACGCACGTTTTTGTCTTAGCTCAGGAAAGATGGCTCCAGAGCAAACTAATTATACAGTAGCCCACGAGACGGCGGAGGCTGCTGAACCAGAACATTTGTCTTCCAGGGCTTTTTTTGTAGAAAAAGCCCATCAGGAACTCATTAGCATATTAGGCCACACCCAAGACAGCACAGCTCATTAGCATATTAGGCCACACCCCATGTCCCCAGAAGTGTGGTCATCCAGCCACACCCACCTTTTGCTTCTTATTCTGTTTACTTTGTTTGTTGTCAAAACCCAGGGCTTTTTTTGGAGCAGGAACTCCTTTGCATGTTAGGCCACACACCCCTAATGTAGCCAATCCGAATGAGTTCCTGCCACTGGGTGTGGCCTATTATGGTGTGGCCTATTATGCTAATGAGTTCCTGCTGGGCGTGGCCAACTTGGGAGCCAGCCGGAACTCCGTTCCTGTGTGTTCCTGCCCAA